TTAGGGTTCTATGTATAGAACCATACAACTACTATTCATTCTGTAACACTCCAGTGATGAAAAATATATAGCATTCATATGAGCCTACCTCATATTTATTGATTTAGATTTTATTTTTCTTTTCTGAGCCAGCCCCATTAGCACCGAGAAAAGTTCTCTAGGTTAGTTCCACTGGCCACTGACCACTAGGGATCAGTAGTTCCAAATACAAGTAGTCTCTCCTTATTTACTGGGGATATGTTGCAAGACCCCCAGCGAATGCCCAAAACCGCAGCTAGAACCGAACCTTATACAGTATATACCTATGATAATGTTTAACATAAATTAGGCACTGTAAGAGACTAAATAATAATAAAATAGAACAATTATAACAACATACTGTAATAAAAGTTACATGAATGTGGTCTTGTTCTGTCAAAATATCTTATCATACTGTAGTCACCTATTTTTGGACCACAGTTGAACACAGGTATAAGGAGGGTCTACTGTACAAAGTTTTCTACATGGTGAAAATAAAAACTAACCTGATAAAGACAGCTCTTACAGTCTATATATTTTAGTTACTGTCTAGCTGGGCCACCAGATTAGATGTGGAAATGAGATTAAATTAAAATTCCATTTCTTTAAAGAGCACTAAATAAAGTAGCAGACTAGCACATAAAGGCACACTATAAAAGGAAAACTCCAGCCCAAGCTGACTTTAAAATATTTCTACCTGCAAGAATAAGTAGCACTCAAATCATTCTTCATTTGACCTACTTAGTGTTAACCCAAGATACAGACCACACATTGCAAAACACCCTTCTTGAGGTGACACTGATAATCGTTCCATTGTTTAACTCTGGTTCCTCTCCCCAATCACACAAATTCTCACTTTTTGTTTCAGTCCAAGTCCTACTCTTCCTTGAAAACTCAGCTTAAAATTCATTTACCTTATTACTCCAGTTATTATAGCATTTATTGACTGCACCACCCATTTAATTCGAAGCCTCAGCTAACTTATGCTGTTAGTAATGGAGTTAGCACAACAATCATTTATAAATACATCCCATATGCAAAGCACCATACTGGGTCCTGGGCTGTATTTTAGCTTAACTTATCTCATTTCCTTTATTTTGGCTGAGAATCAAGTAATAATATTATTAGGTCAGAAAAACATGGATATTTTATCTGGACAAGTAAGGTGATTAATTATTTTCTTTGAAAAATCTTTAACAGTTTCACAAGGGAATTTTATATTATTTATATAATATTTATTTTAATTTTAAAGGAACAGCTAACAAATCATAGGATTACTCTGAAAATCTTTCGGAAATATTAAAATTTATTGATTTCTGATATTATGCTCAGTCCCATCGTCTCTGCTATGAAGAAAAGAAAAAGTAAAAACCAGAAAAAATCTGACATTTTGTTAAATTAAGACCTTTTCTTGCAAATGAAATGTTCCTTTAAATTAGAATGGGAATGTGGAAAGCAGCTTTTCTGGATTCAAGTACAAGTGGTAAAAAACTGAAATCGAAACAATAATACTGTCATCCCTTAGTATCAGCAGGGGTTTGGTTCCAGGACACCCTCCCCAATACCAAAATCTGGTAGATGCTCAAGTCCCTTACATAATATGGGTGGTATCTGCATATAACCTACGTATATCCTCCTGTATAGTTTAAACATCTCTGGATTACTTATAATAACTAATACAATGTAAATGATATGTGAATAGTTGTTATACTGTTTTGTTTATTATTTGTATTATTTTTTATTGGGTTTTCTTTGGAATATTTTCAATCCAATCTGCAGCTGCTTCAATCTCCAGGTACAGAACACCAGATATGGAGGGTTGCCTGGATTTCCTGACGTGAAAAATATTAATATATGAAATTTGAATTTCATTCTCCATACAGTTTATTGGGGCACAGTGATATTTGTTTGTTTATGTATTATCTGTTGTTGCCTTCATACTACAATAGCAGAGTAGTTGCAACAGAGGTTGTATGGCCAAAAAGCCTAAAATATTTACTATCTGGCCTTACCAAATTCAAATCAGGTAATTTTATTATTTCCTATATACAGTTTGAACATATTGAAAAATCATTAAATATCTAAATATGCAAATTAAGATAATAATGAGGCACCTTTTTGTCTATAATTAAAATATTTATCAGGGACCATAAGGGTGTAATAAGATTGGCACTTTCTTTCTCCATTGCTGGTAGGAATATGAACAACTGGTTCATCTGTTCTGCAAAGCAGTTAAAAAGCATGTATCAGGCCGGGCGCAGTGGCTCATGCCTGTAATCCTGGCACTCTGGGAGGCTGACGTGGGAGGATTGCTTGAGTTCAGGAGTTCAAGACCAGCCTGAGCAAGAGCGAGACCCCATCTCTACTAAAAATAGAAAGAAATTAGCCAAACAATTAAAAATAGAAAAAATTAGCCGGGCATGGTGGCACATGCCTGTAGTCCCAGCTACTCTGGAGGCTGAGGCAGGAGGATGGCTTGAGCCCAGGAGTCTGAGGTTGCTGTGAGCTAGGCTGACGCCATGGCACTCTAGCCCAGGCAAGAGAGTGAGACTCTGTCTCAAAAAAAAGCATACAACAGGAGCCTCAAAAATCACTTTTACTGCTGTATAGAACTTGACTATAAGAACATTATCGCAATTTATTAAACCTTTTCCTTATTGATAGCTATACATATGTGTACTGTTTTCAAATTTTTACTATTAGAAACAATGGTATATTTATTTTAATGAATGTTGTATTTAATATTTTTATGAATGCTGTATTTAACATTTTTATGTATTATGCAATATTTAGTATCAGCAACTGATGCTAAATCTACAGAAGTCAAATTTTATGAGGAACAGAATATTTTATAGAATTTCAAAGAGTTCCTAGGATTTAAATCTAGAGATGAATTTACTGGGTTACAGGTTGTACACAGCTCCAACTTTACTAGATACTGCCAAAATGTTCTCTAAGAGCAATTTATTCTCCTACAGCAACACTTTTCAGGCATATTAACTGTTGCCAATCTGGTAGGAATGACTGGCATCTTACTGTTATTTTCATCTGTATCTCCCTAATTATTACTAGTAAGGTTCATTATCTTTCCTTATTTATCAACCATTCCTGTTTCCTCTTTTATGAAATGACTGACCATGTCCTTTGCCCATTTTTCTGTTATAACACTTGTCATACTTTCTTTTTCCTCTGTTTGGTTTAGTAATTTGAAGGTGAATTCCCATTCTTTGAAGAACAAACTCCTCCATAACCGCCGCCTTTCCTCCAAGGTTATTTCCACCGTCTTCCCTGAACTAGATCCAGCATTCCCTTGATACTACTTTTCTCACAACCCTCTCAATGGAAATTGAAAAATGGAAATTCTTTTTATCAATACCATTGCCACAATTATCTCAAAGCTGTACTGATGTCCTTCCCTTCTAACAAATCCATATATCCCACAAAATAATTCCAAATTCCACAGGCTGGCTTTCAAAGCTTTCCATAATCTTACCCAACCAACATTTTCAGCCTACTACTACTCTCCTACATATACTCTATGCATCAAGTAAGCTGGACTGTTTTCCACCCATATCAAACACCCCCTGGGAGTTTCTAATTCTCTGTCTTGATCCATGCTCTTCCTAGTACCCATCTGTTTATCAAAAATTCATCCTTCAAGGAAAGCTCTCCCTTCCAATATAATACCAACAAATAAATATAGAAAAGAATTAAGAAAAAATCACCATTTTGCAACCCTAAGAATAAAACTGGATCAAGTAAGAATTGATGATGAATCCAGATGGTCATATTTTGAGGAATATTTTACATAATTTCAAAGTATCTCCCCCCAAATTACTTAGGAATTATAAGAATAGGTTGAAGAAAAAAACACCCTAACCAAGTATAATCAAAGTCAATATAACCAATAAGGGACAAATGCCATGTACCTCCAGATGTAACATCCAAGAAAGACACTGTATCACTTATGTAGTATATTCTAGTCAAAAACGCACGACCAAGAAGAAACATTAGAGAAACCGAAATTGAGAACATTCTATAAAATAACTAGCCTATATTGTTAAATGATGTTAATTTTGGGCTGGGCGCGGTAGCTCACGCCTGTAATCCTAGCTCTCTTGGAGGCCGAGGCAGGCGGATTGTTCGAGCTCAGGAGTTTGAAACCAGCCTGAGCAAGAGCGAGACCCCGTCTCTACTAAAAATAGAAAGAAATTAATTGGACAACTAAAAATACATAGAAAAAATTAGCTGGGCATGGTGGTGCATGCCTGTAGTCCCAGCTACTTGGGAGGCTGAGGCAGAAGGATCACTTGAGCCCAGGAGTTTGAGGTTGCTGTGAGCTAGGATGACGCCACGGCACTCTAGCCAGGGCAACACAGTGAGACTCTGTCTCAAAAAAAAAAAAAAAAAAAAAATGTTAATTCTGTGAAAGACAAAGACAAACAGAGGACCTTTTCCAGATTAAAAGAGACTAAACACAATATATGATCCTCGACTGAATCCCAAACTGGAGAAAAATTCTATAAAGGATGTTATTGAAACAACTGACAAAATGTGATGATGGATTATAGATCTAGAATATATGTTTAATAAATATTTACTGAATTAAGGGAACTTTCATTCCAAGAATCCACACAGCCCCCCACACCACATCTAATGAAATGCCCTGATACATATACCTGAGAAGAGAAACTGACAGGACTAAATGATTATGTGTCTGTAGCACTAAAGATAAAAATGAACAAATTAAAATGCTGGAAAGGTAAAGAGAAACCATTGCCACTCACCTTACTTCATGGACAAAGACATGGATTTGGGTCCTCATGAGATTTTTCAATAAAGCCTTCAAGTTTCTAATATTGAACATAAAACTGTTTAGATTCCAAAGGAAAAGAGTTTACTAGAAAAGAGTTAGATGCCTATAAAAAAATTTAAATTCTTAATTTTTACACAAAATATCTAAAAACACACATTATACTGTCTTTTGAGTTTAATGACACTAATAGCTTTATTTAACAAACATTGATGACTACTATGTGCAAAGCACTATGCTAGGTGCCATGAAAGATACAAAGATGAAAAAGACATAGTCCCTGCCCACAAGGAGCGTATAATCTAGTGAAGAGACAGACAAATACACAAATAACTAGAATACAAGGCAGTAAACGAGTGGGCAAGTGCTGAGTGTGGCCTGAGTGTGATACTAGATAGCCTCAAGGTTCTAATTTGAAACACTGGTGAAATAGTGTTGGCTGCTTTGAAAATCTCATCTCAAAATAGACATAATGGATGTTAAAATGGTCCTACCCAAGCAGCTGAAGGCAGTAGAGTAGGCCAGGTGGAAGGGTTGTTTGAAAGCACTGTTAGACCTACATACGTGGTGCTGATATAAGCATGTAGGTACAGCTAAAAAAGAACGAATATATATATATACACACACACATACACACACACACACACACACACATATATATATATATCATCTGTCCTTTGGTTAATGGCTATAGCTAATGTTTTAAACAATATACTTTTATATAAAAAGGAATTTGTATAATCCCAGAAAAATCAATTTAAGGATATTAATTCAAGAAAGAATCCTGCCATAGGCAATTTTATTTACTAATTGATTTTTTTCTCTAAATATCTATAAAGCTCTGTAGCAATTAAACAGTTAGACATCTAAGTATTGCTGAGTAAAACCTCTTATGTTCAGCCTTCTGAAGGAAATGGTCACATACCTGATATAAGACTATTCTAATAGCAACAAGAAGGCCTTAAAGAGATTTAAGGAAAATAATTTTTAATACTTCAATGCAAATGGAATACACGCTGATTAAATACAAGTCAATGTTCTTTGAAAATATGTCAATGACAGCATTTGATACCAGTTAAGGCCAGCAGAATTGAAGTGAGGAAAATTACATGTATTGTCTTTCATTGGTTTCATGTACGCCTATGCCTATGGCAACCCAATCTTTTCTTTGAAAATTCCACTTAATAGTATTGATGAGCTTTGATTTATAAGCTTTGATTTGCTTTTAGCCCATAGGCTAATAACAGCTGCTGACCACTTCCTCTTGGTAGTGTTGTCTGAAATAACTGGCAAAGTAGAAACACATCTCCTGGCTGCTTTTCCTACTTCCTGAATTGGAGGGTTCACTGCTTAGCCTGTTTCCTTCAGTGTGTCACTGTGGTCCTGGGTCCTCTGCTGCTTTCTTTCAAGGAAACGAGCCCGTGCATCTGATATGGATTTGTCATCATTTCTTCTCTGCATTTTCTTTAGGACTTCTTTTGATATTCCATCTGAAAACATTACAAATTAATCCAATAAAACTTTAGGTTTGAGATTCAGTGCTAGAAATGGTAACAATTCTTAGAGAAAGAGATGCCTGAATTTTTCAATGTTAAGAAAAGAAAAAGAATAAAGAGGAAATTAAATTTTGCCCTTTCGAAAAAAGGTATAGCCTATGGTTAAAAAATTAAGAGCACTGAAGCCAGTGATTCAGAAAAATGGACCGTAATTCCAGCATGTGGTACAGTGTTACAACACTGCAACAAAACACCTAGTGGCTAACTTTTCTTAAGACTCTTCTATAATTTCCTGAGCAAAATTCTTCATCATTCTATTTCCCAGTGATGTTATGTAAGGAAAATACAATATTCTCCATCATTCAACTTCAATAAGCTTTACTGAAAAGCTTTTTGTATATGTGAGCTTATAACTAAGCTTTCTGTCCTAGTTCAGTACCACAATTGTTTATGCCTCCCAAGCAGGGACCTAATATTTCATGGAAAAAGCCCCTCGAAAAAAAGGAGTTTCTGAGGTAGTAATTCACAAAATTTTATAAACAAAAATAGCAAAGCACTGCTGGGAAGTAGTATGGCATAGTGGTTAATAATAGAACAAATGATTCACTCACCCTTTAGCTGTTTTACATTTTCCTTATTTGTCCATCTCCTCCTTGCATCTTCTCTCACTTCACGCCGAGCCACACTGCTCAAATCATGTGCATTAAATTCATGCAACTTGGGTAACAAGTCTCTCACCCATTCATAACGAATTGGACACACAATTCTTGCGTAGACTTTGGTGGTAACTAATACCTCATGAAAAATGATCCATTCAAGTTTGGTTTCCTGTTCATGAAGCTACACAAAAGAATTCATTTAAGGATGATAATTCAATAACTTGCCCTATTCCACATTAGACCAGCCAAATAATAGCCCAAATCTTTCTGAATAAATTCCTATTTTCTTCAAACAGGAGGAATGGGCCTACCAATACACTTACACATATATGTTTCATATATGTGTAAGTGTGTATGTGTGTGTATATATATATATGTAAAATTTAACCTCAAAGCAAAAAGAAGACATTCATATATTACTTATTTTGACACCTTTACAAATGTCTTTCCTTTATTAAAAATAAGGTACTTACTGCTGAGGAAGGATGAATGTGAACTGGGCTTCCACGCCCATCCATTGTGCAAAACGTTCTCCCGACAGATCTATAAACAGAAAAACAAAATGCTGAAGACCAGAAGTAAGACAATGAAGTAAGTAGAAAATTAAGTTCAACAATACACAATTACATACACTCTTTGTATATTCTACTACAGTGTTAATAGGCAGAGGTTTAAGTTTATTCAACTGTCACTATAATCTGTCTACTAATTCATCTTAAATTAATGATATAATTTAAATAGTCACTACAATTAAGTATAAGCATTTCTGGTCAATAAGTAATAATATTAACAATAATGTTGTGTTTGTGCTTTAGAGTTTCCAAAATGCTTTCATAACAAAGCCTCAAAACAACCGAGAACTTTGAGAGCCAGGGCACTTTATTAAAAGAGGGTCAAAACTGAGACTCATAAATTAGCTAGCTTTCTCAGGATCACAGAGCTAAGGCATAGTGAAACCAAGTGCTAAACATAGTTCTTCTGACTTAAATGTAGTTTCCTTATATTATATTATGCTATATCTCTTTTTCAAGGGATAAGTGATTTTTTTGCTAGTCTAAAATCTGATAATTAGAAAATTTCACCTATCATTTTTCTAATTCGTGCTCTTAATTTCAAATTCTTATCCTCTTCTACACTTCCCTACATAAATGTCATTCCAAAAAACTTGTCAAAATAATAGCCCTAGTTCAATTGTCACCACAGCTGATTTCCTATAGTACTTTGTAAATATTCTTAGTGTATCCCAGATAAGACTGCATTCTAATTATTCATTTACATATCTGTGTCCTTCTCTAGACTTAAGTATCAAAAAGAGTTCAGAACTCACATGTTACTCCACCTTTCTATCTTCAGTACCTGTCCAGTGTTTGGTACACAGCAGGTAACCAAGACATACCATATTTTTAAAATTCTGAAACGATCTAAATTTATAGAAAAGTTGCAAGTACAGTACAAAAATCTTTTTTTACCTGAACCATTTTGAGTAAGCTGCCAACCTGGTGCCACATCATTCCCTAAATACTTGAGTGTGCATTTCCTACAATCAAGGATATTCTCTTACATAGCCATAATACAACCATCAAAATCAGGAAATTAACACTGATACATTACTAACATGTAATCCTAAGACCAAACTGAAGTTCCACCAAATGTCCTGATAATATCCTTTACAGCAAAAGAATCCAGTTCAGAATCATTCAGTGACTTTACTTTTCAAGTCCCTTTCGTCTCGTACATTCTAGAATTCTTCCTTAGTCTTTCTTTGACTTTTATGATCTTGATACCTTTAAAGAGTATAGGCTAGTTATTTTGTAATATGTCCCTCCATTTGAGTTTGTCTGTTTTAAGATGATTAGATTCAGGTTACGCATCTTTGGCAGGAATATCCCAGAATGTTATGTTTTCCTCATTGTATTTTATCAGGAAGAACGTGATTTCAATTTGTTTCATTACTGATTATGTTCACTTTACTTGATTTAGGTAGGATCTGCCAGCCTTCTCCACTGTAAAGTTACTTTTTTCCTTTGTAATGAACAAGAATTTTGTGGAGAGGAGCTTAACTATGTAAATAATTCTATTTCTCATTAAACTTTTAATTTACTCATATGTTAATCTGTATCACTATAAATCCATGATTTCACCTTTTATTGAGTTACAATCCTTTAACTATTATTTATTTTGATGCTTAAAATGTCCCTTATTTGATCAGTTGGGGCCTCTTTATGTTGGCTTCTAGGTACTTCTGACATGGCCTCAACCTTCATCAATCACTTCTTTGCTTGCTGGCAAAGTAAGATGTTCAGAGTTCATCTTGCACTTTCCTAGCCCCATTTCTCCAAAGAGCCTTGATTCCTTTAAGTGGCAGATGGTTGTCCCAAGTCAAGACCTGGGCACTAAGTGTATTCATTGCTATTATGTGCTTTTTTTTTTTTTTTTGAGACAGAGTCTCACTCTTTTGCCCGGGCTAGAGTGCCGTGGCGTCAGCCTAGCTCACAGCAACCTCAAATTGCTGGGCTCAAGCAATCCTACTGTCTCAGCCTCCTGAGTAGCTGGGACTACAGGCATGTGCCACCATGCCCGGCTAATTTTTTCTATATATTTTTAGTTGTCCAATTAATTTCTTTCTATTTTTAGTAGAGACGGGGTCTTGCTCTTGCTCAGGTTGGTTTCGAATTCCTGAGCTCAAACAATCCACCCACCTCGGCCTCCCAGAGTGCTAGGATTATAGGCGTGAGCCCCGCGCCTGGCCTATGTGCTTTTTTTTTAAACAGAGTCTTGCTCTATTGCCCAGGCTAGAGTGCCATGGCATCAGCCTAGCTCACTGCAACCTCAAACTCCTGGGCTCAAGCAATCCTCCTGCCTCAGCCTCCGCAGTAGCTGGGACTACAGGCACACGCTACCACGCCTGGCTATTCATTGCTATTATGGCATTGCTGCTCCCAGTCCCTCTCAGAGCTAGGTTATATATGTATGTATGTTACAGACATACAACAAATATATATATATACACACACACACACTAAAATCTATTTTTATTCCCATATATATCATCCATCCATCCCTCTATACTGAAAACCATAAGTTCAGAATGATGCACTGAAATTTCAATCCAACACCACATTCTCATCTTCTCGCTTTCAGTATTTCTAACTTCCTTCACTATTATCATTATTAATATAGTTATGTGATTAATTCCTTTGTATATAACGAATCTCCCATCACCACCGTTACTCCTTTCCCTACAAAGATGCTCTCTTCACTACACTCAGACTGACATCCCACACCAAAAACTCCTCCTCAAATTTCAAGCTCTGCCAACTCCATGCCAAGCTACCCTTTCTCAGGGATGCCATCCTCAACCTGTTTAGCTTGCATACTCCACAAAGGGCCACCCACGGCTCCACAAGTAAACTCTTGTCACTTGCCTTAGGTGATGATAACCCACAATGGACAGCCTACTCTACATACACTCCCTTCATACCCTGCTGGAGTTCTAATATCCCACTCTGAGACACTGAAGCTCCTACTACACAAGTGACAATTATGAAAAAGGTTGTTGTAATTGATGTCGTCATCATCACAGAGCCTAAATCACACCGTCTATCTTTAATAATAAATAGTTCAATACTGTAGTCAAATACAGTAGTTTTTATTGATCCATCTCCAAGCTCTTATTGCTTACCTTCGGGCTACATTTTTGAAATAGCCTGCACAAAGACATCTTCGTAGTACTTCATGTTTAGGGCCTTCAAAGGTCTCTCTTGGGAAATCACTTTGCTGTGGAAAGAATATATATACAGTGGTAAATATCACAGAACAATTTGAAATACTCCTTTATTTTGAAAAATCCACATTTCTAAAGACTTCTGCTTCTGGATAATAAGGGGTAAGAAGAGGGACCGGATTTACCTTTCCACCTGAAACAACCAAAAAGTGAATAAAATATATGAAATAATGATTTCCAAAACACTGTATATTAGGCAACAAAGGACAGTGACTCCTGAGAGATAGGAAATAAATGATGTAAGCCCAACAACTGCCCCAGCTTGCAGCGCTGAGAAGACTGTGGACCAAGGTACAGAGAAGAAGAACCCAAACGGAACCCGGAGAACTCCCTGGGTTAAGGAGACAGAGCTGAGAATCCAGGAAGGCCAAGGTGGCTAGAATTCACAGGACAGCATTTAGGAAAGAACAGAACTACACAGAGAAAATTCCAGAGAGATGTAAAAGGTGCTCCTCTAGTGCTCGGCTGAGTACTGATTAACACATAAATGTGAGGAAACTACCAATTCACAGGAAAAGAACCTCTCAAAAGAATAAAAAGTAACGGTGCATGGTGTTTACACAGGGCAGGAGAGATGCCTTTTCTATAAGCCAGACGAGAATATCTTATAACTCACATGGTTTTGAGAAGAGTACTCAGAAGTGTCTTGCCTCAGTGGGGAATAACTAGCCCTGGACTGAGCACTGCTCTGACCCCACCTACCAAAATCATACAAAAAAGATCAAACCATTTCAAAGTAACTAGAATATAAAAATATCCAGCACCTCACAAAGTAAAATTCATGATGTTTGGGATTCATTGAAAAATTATCAGGCATGCGAAAAAGCAGGAAAATACAACCAATAATGAGGATATAGATCAATTAATCAAAATCAACCCAGAACTGGCATAAATGTTAATAATATTTATGTTATAACTGGACTACATATGTTCAAAAAGTTAAATAGAGACCTGAAGAGTAAAACAAAAACTTTTAAAGACTCAAATCCAACATCTAGAGATAAAAACCACAACATCTGAGATGAAAAACATAATGGATGAGATTAATGGCAGATTAGACATTGCAGAAGATTAGTGAATTTGAAGACAAAGCATATAGAAAATATTCAAAAACAAAACAGAGACAGAAAGTAGAACAGTGGTTTCCAGGGGTTAGGGGGAGAAGGAAATGGGGAGCTATTGTTTGGTGGGTACAGAGTTTTAGTATGGGATGATGAAAAATTCTGGAGATGGAGAAGTGGCAAAGGTGGCACAACATTGTGAATGTTCTTAATGTCACTGCCCTGTACACTTAAAAATGGTGAATTGTGTTTTACCACAATAAAAAATTACAGAATTGAAAAAATAATAATTATGCTAAGTAAAAGAAGCCAGACCAAAAAAAAATAAAAACAAAGAACATACTATATGATTCCATTTACACAGAATGCTAGAAGATGCAAACTTATGTAGAGTAAGTCCTCACTTAATGTCATTGAAAGGCTCTTGGAAACTGTGACATCAAGCAAAATTATGCATACCTAAACATTTTTTTTTTTTTTTGCTCATCAATGTTATAACAAAACAACATTGAATAAACCAATGTTATTCTAGGACCCACTGTATGTCATTTCACTCAAAGTCAATTTACAAGAACCTATTGATGATGTTAAGGGAGGACTTACTGTACAGTGACAGGAAGCAGATCAGTGGTTGCCTGGGTAAGCGAGGCAGGAGAGTCTGGGAGGTGAGATGGATGGATTACAAAAGGGCATGAGGAAACTTCAGGAGGTGATGGATATGTTCATTATCTTGATTGTGGTGATGGTTCCATGGGTTTACGCAGATATCAAAACTCATCAAATTGTATACCTTACGTATGTGCAGTTTATTGCATGTCAATTATATATCAGTAAAGCTATTCTTAAATAGCCTCATTTCTGCAGATAAAATTCTTTTATTACTACTAGGAATCTTTCATGGAGTCAGGAAGATGGCTATACACAGAAGCCAGGAGAAAGGGAGGGTGGTAGAATAGAAAGGGTGGTAAGAAGTAACATACATAAATTAAAATTCAATATTAAATATATAGGTCCAAAATGCTCAAGAAAAAAACCATTATAGCAATCACCTGTTTAAGTTTCCTGATTAGTTCTCGAAGCTGAGCTTCCACACGAAATGCAGAAAATAAGCACCTCCAATGAATCCAGTGTTTTTGGCACCATGAAGCTGGAGCTCCACTGTAAAACAAAAATACTGGTATCTTTAAAAAAAAATCTTTAAGTAAAAGTCTAACATTATCATTCTATTACAAAAGTGGAAATCCATAAGCAACTGTCAACTCTTTCATGAAGTCTGTCCAAGTACTGAAAAACTATTTTAGGAAATTTGAAAAATGATTACATTAATGTAGGTGACCTTGACTAAATTAAAAATAATTTGTAAATGGATTTCTTTCTATCTATCTATCTATACGTATGCATTTATGCATTAATCTAAGCAGGTTCTCATCTAAGCTACCTATAAAGAAGCAAAATTCTATACGGTCATTTTCAGGAAAGGTTTGGCGAGAGAAGAAAGAAGAAAACCAATATTACATAATAAATGCTTACTAAGTAATAGTCACTTGACAAAGATAATCTCACTAATATTCAAAATACCTTGAAGTCAACATCATCCCCACTGAAACTTAGCACTTAAGTCACAGAGTAAGTACATACTAAAGCTGTTTATCAAATCGACATTTTCTAATACAAAGGACTAGCTCACATACCTTGATTTGCATTGTTCAAAGATGACAGCTAAAGTTGCAAAGTCATTAAATCCTCCAGCTTTAGCTGCTAATTCTCGATGTCTCTGTTCTGCTTCCTTCTGGTACTCTGGATCAACTAAAAGGAGAATCAGAGAGGCGATTTAGTTCTACTTTACATTAAGTGCCTATATTCACTTTGTTTTTGCAAGTACATTTAAATCTGCCTCACCCTCTGGGGTGAAATTACGCAGAACTATATTAACTCTTCCTGGGGGGCTCTAATTTCTCCCACAACTCCTTTTCTTCTTTTAACCACACTTTGGAGATTTTACCAAAATAGCAAAATTACATCTCCCAAATCATTTGCCTTTAAAGTAGTATTTGGAATTTACTTTTTAAATTAGTTTTTATTATAATAGCAACCCATGCTCATAGTAAAAAATATTTAATGGTATAAAAAGATATAATTTAAAACTGTAACATTCTGCAGTTTGTCACATTATTCATAAACCTATCCTCAAGGCCAACCACTGTTAATTATTTAGTATGTGTCCTTCCAGATATTTTCTATATGTATGCAAGCATAAATACATAGTGTTCCATTTTTATATAAATGAGATATATATTCTGAAATTTCCTCTCTTCATTTAATAACAGCTTCATGGAAGTACATGTAGAATTATTCATTCTCAAAAATAGCCACATAGTATTTATTCCTCAGAGGTATGGGGAACATAATGCAATTTAACCAGTCTTTATTTATCCAATCCCCAATTATGGGCAATTAGACATGACCTCCATAGATGTGGAACTAACCTACTACAAATATTTTCTCTTCTCTTTTAACTTTATATTGAAGTATAACATGTACACAGAAAACTACAAAGGCCATAAGTATATAGCTCAATCAATGTCCACAAACATAACACACCGATATACCCGACACTCAGTCAACAAACAGAATACTCCCAGCATCCCAGAAGCCCGTTTTATGCTTTCCTTCTAATAACTATCCATTCCTCTGCATAAGGGTAACCATACCCTGACTTCTAATCTTACAGATGGCTTTTGCCTGTTTTTAACCTTTGTACGAGTGGAACCGTACAGTATGTATTTGATGTGTCCGGTTTCTTTTGCTCAACATTGTTTTTGAGATTTATCTGTTAGTGACTTTGATGCTACTTCCCCTGATCCCATTCAGGCCTGATGTGCTGCTCTCTGATTGCCCTAGTCCCCATATAGCATTTTACCCAGGCTACTCTTTCAGGGTCCCATTTTTTCAAAACTGCATAAACATCTTTCCTTCATCCTAACACATCACACAATTCCTATTCCTTCAGTATAATTATCACAGCTAGATTTAGCAGAGGCACAATGTTGCCTGATTCCAGGGAGCAGCGCTTACATAGACTACAATGTGAATGTACAAAGCAGCAGTTCCTGATATTAGGAGGAAAGCAATCTGATTAAAGAAAACATCCATGGGCCAGGCGCGGTGGCTCACGCCTGTAATCCTAGTACTCTGGGAGGCCGAGGTGGGCGGATTGTTTGAGCTCAGCAGTTCGAGACCAGCCTGAGCAAGAGCGAGACCCCACCTCTACTAAAATTAGAAAGAAATTAATCGGCCAACTAAAAATATATAGAAAAAATTAGTCGGGCATGGTGGCGCGTGCCTGTAGTCCCAGCTACTCGGGAGGCTAAGGCAGAAGGATCCCTTGAGCCCAGAAGTTTGAGGTTGCTGTGAGCTAGGCTGATGCCATGGCATTCACTCTAGCCCGGGCAAAAGAGTGAGACTCTGTCTCAAAAAAAAAAAAAAAAAAAGAGAATATGATTTATCTCAGACCATACAAATGGTCCTACTGAAGTGAAGATATAAATGATTATTAATGCCCATCTCTTACTCTACTCAGAGATACTAATTTTTAACCCAAAACATCTCATTTCAAGCACCTAACTACCATACCACAAAAGGTTTTTTGCCAAAAGTTAAATTGCATTAGATTCCAGAATCAACCCCATCCTGGCTCTCAACATTAGGAGACAAGCCTACCTATGAGTCAGGGGTTCCTGAAATTCCTGAATCATGGTGTTTCCTGCTGTATCTATGTAAAGCCCCAGCCACCTGGGTTCCTTGGGTTATGAAGCCTTGAAGCTTCTAGCTAAAGTCTAGTTCTTTTCTTCCCTGCCTCCAGCTGACCCTAGAAACCTTCAATTTGGCTGTAATACCCACAACAGGAATTTACACAGATGATTCACCATCTCTCATTAAGATGTCAGAATAATTTTGTAATAAAATTTAGTGGATTACATTTTTTTTTTTTTTTTGAGACAGAGTCTCGCTTTTGTTGCCCAGGCTAGAGTGAGTGCCGTGGCGTCAGCCTAGCTCACCTTAAACTCCTGGGCTCAAGCGATCCTCCTGCCTCAGCTTCCAGAGTAGCTGGGACTACAGGCGCGAGCCACCACACCCGGCTAATTTTTTATTATTTCTATTTTTAGCTGACTTGCTAATTTTTTCTATTTTTAGTAGAGACGAGGTCTCGCTCTCGCTCAGAGCTGGTCTCTAACTCCTGAGCTCCAGCGATCCTACCGCCTCAGCCTCCCAGAGTGCTAGGATTACAGGCATGAGCCACTGCGCCCGGCCTAAAATTTTAAACTCGGCTCATATTTTAGGAAGATTAATTCTGTAGGGCTTCATTTCTGAAGGACAGCATTAAAGAAAAAAATAACGTTAAAAAAAATAACTGCATGGTCAGTGTTGGATCTCTTATTTAAAGTGGCTATTTGCTCAAACTTTAAAAAAATTTAGAAAGCACATTGCTACTCTGGCTCTCCTTCCCACATCGCTACCTTGTCTCTGTTTCTCTCACTGTCTCTGTCTGTCCCCACCATTACTCTCAAAGTTAAAAGGAAAGATAGAGCATATTTTTGTTCCTCTTCTTTACCTCTTTCCTCAAAAATAACCTAATTAATTAAAATTAAAACTGGCAAAAGTCCCACACTAAATTTAGGGAAGGGATAGGAAAACCTGAACTCATCTATACACAGTTATTATAATCTTGGCAAGTTTATCCAACTGATAGTTTGATTAGCCATCTTTAATTATTTTCTCAGTAGACTTGTTTATTTTCTTTAGTTTATTAACTTTCTCCAGATGAGATTCCATTATCAGTTTTACCCCAGGCAAATAGGTAGATGCCAATGAGGCAAAGACTATAAATAATAAACTGAAGCAGCAAAACAAAGCTCTATCAGCTGCACTTCTCCCTTTGGGAAGATAATTCAACAACAATCAATCAGAAAACAAAACTATTATATAGAAAACTTTTCAATAACAGTCCCCAAAGTTGACGCAAGGGAATAAGGTTATTAAGTGCCATATACACATAATGTATCCTTTGTTTCTAAAAATATTACAGTTAATACATTTAAAATAAAAATTTTAGAACCAACCCAATGTGATTTTCAATTTGTTTCATTTTAAGGCATTTAAATATTTAACAGACGTCACTCCACTGTCCGACTTCTAAAGCATTAATTATACCAGCAGACATTGTATACAGAGTTCACTACAGCAAAAGACACAGATTATTATATATGTTGAAACAATCATCATTTTGATGTTTAAAACCTTAATTCAATGTTCAGATCTGAGAATACTAGCCAGTTTTCCGGTAAGTTATGTAATAAACTAAATTAGGTGATCTACAATGACTGAAACTCAAGGCAGAAAAGACTGCCTAACTCTAAAGACTATAAATGCACTCAGAAGCAGGTGGAAAGCCAATGCACATTGTGGGTGTAACAAGATCGCAGCAAGTCACATGCTCAAAAACTGAAGCTGCATCTTGTAGCAGGTGAAGTTCTTAATGACCCGGTTTTAAAAGCCTACATCATTTAAATATACAGCAAGAATATCTCTTTAAGGATAAATAAGAAGCTAGTAGCAGTTTTTGTCTCTAGGAATCAAACCTCAGGACTTGTTTTGGAGGGAAACTTAATTTTCACTTAAATTCTTTTGTAGTGTTTGAATCTTTAACTATACATACACAGAGTTGACTCTTGAACAACATGGGGGTTAGGGGTGTCGACTCCCCTCATGCAGTCAAAAATCCACATATAACTTTTGACTTCCCAAACAACTTAATTACTAATTGCCTACTATTGACCAGCAGCCTTACCAATAACATAAACAGTTGATTAACACGTATTTTGTATATGTATTATATACTGTATTCTTAAAGCCAAAGAAAAAATGTTAAGAAAATAATAAGGAATAGAAAATACATTTACAGTACCGTACTGTATTTATCAATACCGTTAAGTTTATGTCATCTATTTATAACATAAATTGCCTGTCTGAAATAGTGGGCAGCTACACTCCTCAATATACTGTACATATCAAGCAATTCAACTTTTTCTTGTAATGTCATGACTTTGCTTCTTGGGAACACTTCCAGCATCACTAGTGGCATTTTGTATGGGTCTCTCTCATGGTATTAGTCAAGGTTTACAGTATTGCACTAAACATGAAAAATATGCGAGAATCACGAGAGATCACTTTTTACTGTGATATGCAATTTGCTAGAAAGATGGAATGCTCACACGGAGACGATCAGTGTCACGTGGCATTTTAAGCAGATACAACACTAGAGCTCACCGCAACAGCAACAGGAGGTGGCTATGGAATTATTACAGTAGTACAGTATGTATAGTAATACATTATTGTATTACTGTATTAATAAATTAATTTTATAGTTATGATATAAACTATCTTTACATTTGTTAACATTTCTCTTGACTGTAAATGGCACCATACATGGTCTATAAATGTTTATGTACGTTTTTGATAAATTTTAACTTTTTATAATAGATTTGTGTATATTCTATGGTAGTAAATGATACAATAGACTAGTATCTACATATATTTTATGCATCCATGACATACCTAAGTTTTTCTTAATTTTTTTGATATTTCTAGGCTATGTGGCTCATCTGTGATTTTCTTCCAAACTGTCACAAACCTCAAAAAAATTTTCCAATATACTTATTGAAAAAATCCACATATAAGCAAACTCACACAGTTCAATCTGTATTGTTCATGGGTCAACTGTATTGAGCATGGTGGTAAGAAGTTAG